TGAGGGCAGTGCTGACCCTTCCCAGCCCCTGCAGCCCTTGGCTCTGGTTTCCTTCCCTCTTGCCCACGGGGACAGGGGTTGGGCTGATGTCTGGCATCCCTTGGGAGCATCACCATCCTCCCTGGGAAGGGATCCCTCCAGCCTGGGGTGAGTTTCTGGTGGCAAAGCCCAGCAGGGAACACCCAGAGCTGGAGAATGTGCTCTGTGCTCACCCTGCTGGGGCTCTGCACCCCGGGCACGCTGGCCAGGATTCTGCAGTCGCTGTCAGCAGCACAGGCAGCCAGGATGGGAACCCATCACCCCCATTCCCCGCCTCCCATCCGTCCCCACCTGATCCCCCAGGAACCAGGCCATTCCTCAGCAATCAGGACAGCGCCCTGTTTGGCTGTCAGTGTTGTCATGAGCCTTTTAACTTSACGGGGAAAGTTGATCTCAAAGCAAAGTGTACAGTTATCATTCAATTATGGTTAAATCAAGCCCCTTCGATGCACTTTATGACCGAGTGAAAACAAATCAATGCTGTTATTGCACTGTATCTCTATTGTGTATAATATTATACATTCATCTGTAAGAGTAATTTATTTTTATTACTGTAAATAAAACTRTTAAAGTGATTTGTCAAGAGGATATCCAAAAACAGGGGGAGGGGGGTGGGTTAAAATTAAAACCTTTGAAGATCTGGGCTCCTGTCCCAGGTATGTGCCATGCTGTGTGTGTCTGTGTTTTTATTTCAGGGGCCAGAGCAGATCTCTGCTTTCTCTCACTCAGGGTCTTTGTTTCCCCCTTGGATCAGGAKGAGCTGGATTCCAGGATCAGTGGATTCCAGGATAGTGGGATTCCAGAATAGCTGGATTCCAGAACACGCTGGATTCCAGGAAAGCTGGATTCCAGGATGATGTGGATTCCAGGATAGTTGGGTTGGATAGTTGGGTTCCAGAATAGTGGGATTTCAGGATAGTTGGGTTGGATAGTTGGGTTCCAGAATAGTGGGATTTCAGGATAGTGGGATTCCAGAATAGCTGAATTCTAGAACATGCTGGATTCCAGGATGATCTGGAATCCAGGATGATGTGGATTCCAGGATAGGTGGATTCCAGGATGAGCTGGATTCCAGGATAGTGGGATTCCATAATTGCTGGGTTCCAGGATGAGCTGGATGAGGACAAGAACTGCTGGGGACACGGAGGGGTTGGGATGGAGCAGCTGCTGCTGCTCGGATTCTCCAAGCACCAAGACAAAGCTTTCCCATCAGCCAACCCCCTCTGCCCTCTGATCACCCCCTCACCCTCTGATCAGGGATTAAACACYCTCGGGAATTAATTGATCTGTGAGGGCTTGATTCTGCAAATGAAGGGGTTTGGAGATCACAGCTTTCTGCTGCTCCTTCTGTGGCCTGGCTTCTAACAGAGGAGGGAGCATCACAGGGCTGATTAACTCCCAGCAGAGGACGAGCTGACAAAGAGCCAAACCCAGATCTACTGTAACCTCTTAAAATCTTTATTAATTTTTTTTCCTCTTTTTTTTTTTTTTTTTATTTTTTTTTTAAGATTTAATTAGCACATGCATAAAGTGTCAACAGTTTGGGGTTAAGATGACATTTCTTGAACAAATGTAGTTACAAGCGGTGCCTCGGATCGCTCCAGGTTTCCTCTCTACCCTGTACAGAAGGAAGCTCGTGCTGCCACCGACGTCGTCCCTACCTTTCCGTCCTCGTGTCACCACAGGCAGAACCCACAACACTGGGGAGAAATACACTTGTTCACACGTAGCAACTGGGTAGGGGAGATAGAGACGGGCAGCAACACCTACTCACCTACTGACTAAGTGCACATGGTCACAGACCCCGCCAGGCAGCGAACATCCCCTCGTAATCTCAGCTCTACCGTAACGGGGTGGGACTGCAGCGGGTGACCCTCCCTGGGGAAGGTGCCTGTCTCCCACCRGCTCCTTCCATCGGGGGGRRAAWYYWARG